ACTCTCATGCCCCGGTCAAACGAGAACAAGAGTTGCATGAGAGTTGATGAGAGTTGATGAGAGTTGAGAAGCGAGAGTTTGCATGAGAGTTTTCTCAACTCTCATGCCCCGGTCAAACGAGAACAAGAGTTGCATGAGAGTTGATGAGAGTTGAGAAGCGAGAGTTTGCATGAGAGTTTTATCAACTCTCATGCTCCGGTCAAACGAGAACAAGAGTTGCATGAGAGTTGATGAGAGTTGAGATTCGAGAGTTTGCATGAGAGTTTTCTCAACTCTCATGCCCCGGTCAAACGAGAACAAGAGCTGCATGAGAGTTGATGAGAGTTGAGAAGCGAGAGTTTGCATGAGAGTTTTACCAACTCTCATGCTCCGGTCAAACGAGAACAAGAGTTGCATGAGAGTTGATGAGAGTTGAGATGCGAGAGTTTGCATGAGAGTTTTCTCAACTCTCATGCCCCGGTCAAACGAGAACAAGAGCTGCATGAGAGTTGATGAGAGTTGAGAAGCGAGAGTTTGTATGAGAGTTTTCTCAACTCTCGTGCCCCAGTCAAACGAGAACAAGAGCTGCATGAGAGTTGATGAGAGTTGAGAAGCGAGAGTTTGCATCAGAGTTTTCTCAACTCTCAGGTCCTGGTCAAACGAGAACAAGAGTTGCATGAGAGTTGATGAGAGTTGAGAAGCGAGAGTTTGCATGAGAGTTTTCTCAACTCTCATGCCCCGGTAAAACGAGAACAAGAGTTGCATGAGAGTTCGCATGAGAGTTGAGAAGCGAGAGTTTGCATGAGAGTTTTCTCAACTCTCATGCCCAGTCAAACTATAACAAGAGTTGCATTAGAGTTGATGAGAGTTGAGAAGCGAGAGCTTGCATGAGAGTTTTCTCAACTCTCATGCCCCGGTCAAACCAGAACAAGAGTTGCATTAGAGTTGATCAGAGGTGAGAAGCGAGAGCTTGCATGAGAGTTTTCTCAACTCTGATGCCCTGGTAAAACGAGAACAAGAGTTGCATGAGAGTTGATGAGAGTTGAGAAGCGAGAGTTTGCATGAGAGTTTTCTCAACTCTCATGCCCTGGTCAAACGAGAACAAGAGTTGCATGAGTTCAATTCGTCAAAGCTGACGAAGTCGGCCGGTGCAACCAGCAAAAACTCTTCATCAACTCTCATCAAAATTTGAACCAGTTCAAAGTGATGGGAGTTGATGAGAGAGTTGGAATTCGTTGAACGAAGTGACTTTCATCGTTTGTAGGTAATTACACCCTTCGACCTTCGACCAGCTATTTGAATATTGTTCGACGCTACCTGCACCAGAGAACCAAACACTTTCGCCCCGGTTTCATGATACCGGATTCGGAGCGAGTCGAGCGACATCAACTAAGACGCTTTTCGGCCTCTTACAACTTTTCGTATTTGAAGTTTTTGACTAATTCTGTTATATTATCAAAATATTGAATGCTAAACTCTCCTTGAAACTGTAAAATTTGATGTCGCTCCATGTAACTGGGGCCTCAGGTAATTCCAGTATTCCAGTTACCTTCGTTTTACTCTGTGCTCCAGAAAAACAAAACAACAGTAATTAGTCATGCGGTATTTTATCAGTTCCAATTTAGCCATTATATTTTATTTTCTAGTGTATTGACGTATGTATGTCTTACAAGACACCACAGGAGGTAATTCAGGGGAAGCTGTGAAAATTTTATATCTTTAGAAAGATGTCATCTTATGTCACCCAGATTTGTTATTTTTATTTTTCGTTTTCCAGGCTGCCAAAATGATGTTTAACGCGGTTAACGAGCAGATCAAAAAGATGCTTGCGTCTAATGTTGATCTCAGTCCAAGAGAAATGGAAAAGGCCAAACATGATTCATATTTTGTTAAACAATATTCCATTGGTAAGAAAGGGAACTGGATGGTATACATAATGAATGATGGTATCTACTTTGGGATTTCTCGTTTCTTCTGGCATTTGACTCTGGGCGCGCGCTTGTCTTTTACATTACATTCTGTGACTTATTGTGAATCCAGGATTAATAGACAAAAGATGAAAACATGAAAGTGACGACGCGGAAAGGCTTAAACAGCCTCCCCCAATTGCCTGACAGATGTATAATCTAACCATAATCTAACCAAAAATTCATAGGTGGCAAATATATCGGTGGTGATGGTCACTTAGAAAAAATTGACCAACTCATTTCGTCATCAGGAGACAAGTCACGTGAAATAGCTGTTACAGGAAGTGCCGGTAGGTTAAAGTTCCTATATGGGCCAAGTTTCAATTGTCCGTGAATGCCCGGGAAAAGCTTATTGAATAATTTATTCGAGCACAGACAATCGAGAGAATTGTCTATAATGTCATTTTCTCTCGGTTTCCTATTACTTTAGTCGTTGCAGCAAGTTTATATATGCATGTATGTTGCAGGAAGCGGGAAAACTGCACTGTTGTGTAACTGGATTGATAATCACTCGAAGAAAAACCCCGATGATATTATTGTATATCATTTTATTGGCTGCGCAACTGATACTACAGGTAAGACAAATACAAATGGTTAAACTATATAGCCTTTTGCATAAATGCTAATGATTCAAAACAATGAACGACTAGAAAACAGTGGATTCTCCACTGAAAAGTTTCTCAGAATGACATTTCGTCAAAACTTTTTTCTTCAAGATTGGTTTAGAAACAAACTTGGAGTAGGGTTAGGTTAGGTTAGAGTTGGTGTTTGAAATAGGGTGAGTATTAGCAAAACCGTTGCTTTGCTACGTTTTGTCACTCTGAGGCCAGCGAAATAACCTCTGCATCTTTTTCAATAGATCCAAAACAAATCCTTTCGAGGGTATACGAAGAATTGGATTACGAATTTCAGAAAACTTTGAAACCAGCAACAACGGATTCGGTCACTGAACACGGCGCCACTGCTTCTACAGACACGAACAAGGTTAACCAGGAAATTGAAAGAGAAGAAGTAACGGAAAGTCCGTCAGGTAGTAAGCAAATTGAGAGAAGTTCTTCAGGAGGAATTTTCTCATGTTTTCGTGGGAGTAAAGTGACAGATGTAAACAAAGATGATGTCTACGAGAAAACAGCTAATGATGGTAAGATTCGTAATATCTTACTCCTATTTAGATAAAAAAATATGTGGCTTAAAATCAACGTACCCTAGTGATTTAGAGAACAAAGAGATTTTCATCATGTTTGATGATATTTGCATTCCAAACAAGAACCACGTAGAATTAAATCAAAACAAATTCCCGCAATAATATTTTTCTTCCCAAACTTTTTTCTCTCTTCAAAAATTTTTTTCTTTTCAAAAATTTTTTTTTCTTCTAGGTGAAGAACAACCTAGAATTAAGTCATAATACACTATTTACGCTATCAATTTCTACACTATTTACTATATAGTTCGTGTGAATAAGGACGAGACGCAGGCAGAAAAAGAACAAGATTTGGTCAAAGCAAATGACCCACCGAAGACGTCAAAGAAGAAGTTTTCATCAGAAGATATTCTTCCTAGGGGAGGTGGAGGTCATTCCATTCAAAAGATCTTGGCAAATATTACTCAGGTTGCACTTTGTTTTTCATTTTGAGGTTGTTACGCAAAGTGAAAACATGACCGCATTATTCGGAGTAGAGGGTAAACATATTTACTACTTTTTCATTTGTTTGCAGCTAGCTCAAAAAATATCTGAAGCCAAGGGAAAGGCATTTATCGTGATTGACGCTTTAAACAAGACTGACGACCTTGGAAAAACTGGAAAGGTTAGGTCGGGCTCAAATGGACAGAGCAAATTGTCCGACGTGTAAAACGTGTTTTCGACTGGGCGGATTTTTTTGTTCCGGAAGGGACCTTTTCTTTTTCAATAATCGAAAAAGGAAGTTGCTTCGAGCGATAAAATTCTCATAGGAAGGTATCCTATTTGCTCCTTTGTGGGTACCAAAACCAGTGTAACAACTAGACTGTTAAACGTTGCACGACAATGATGAGAAACTGATATCTTGTGCTTTTTCTAAAGGTTCTATATTGGTTACCCAACAACTTACCATCGAACGTGCATTTGATTGTGTCAACCAGAACTGAGCACCAGACCTCTATGGAAGTGCTCGTCCAGGAACGATCGTTTGCTACAGTTGAAATATCTGCTTTAGATGACCTGCAGAAAGAAACAATGGCGAAGGTAATTAGAGATGCAAAAGGAGGGAGGAGGTATTTATTCTTTGACTGGAGAGCACTCAGAGACTGCATTCCTCCACCTGCGGATTACGGATATGCAACTTATGTATCATGCATAAATTATACAATGGGCAAAACAAACTTTTTCTATTTTTTCATTCAATTTTCATTCAAATTTAACCAAAATTTAATCAATTTGTCCTTAGGCAATTTCCATTAGGCCCACAAATCTTCCCATCATAAACGAACCTGGTTAGGTCTGAAAGTGTATGTATAATTTAGGTTCGAAAATTAAATCTACAAAAACCCCATCTAGTATATTAGTTCTATCGAATAAGATGTCGAAAATCTCGTTATTTAATTGTGAAACTCATCAACTCAAAACACGACCTTGAAGGAGTTTGTATATCTGATACAAAGTCATACTGATTTAAATAAACTTTAAGTTCAATTTTCTCACCAAATATCATTCATTTATATTAAATTGTTGAACAATACGAATGTTCTCATCAAGACGTTCCACAAGCCATTTCCAACATGAGCGCCCTTTGATTGTTTACGCTGCACTCGTTACATATTTCAAGTTATATTTGATTGGGTTTAGAACATGCTGGCATTAAGAGGTAAAGAATTTTCCGAGCCACAGATGATCAAAGTGGTGGCTGCTGAACAGAGTGGGAATCCACTTTATCTCGAGATTTTCCTTGAAGAAATGTGCAGTTTTGGTGATTTCTTTCTCGTCGATAAACAAATGGATCATTTACTTGAAGCTGAGAGGTAATGGAATTCAAGATCTGTGGCAATGTTCCGCAGGGGCAAATCTACTGTGGGGGTTTAAGGGGGGGTGCGCACCCCACCTAGTCGTGTCTAACACCCCCTAAAGAAATCCAGCACCACCCTAAAAAATCAGCTTGGCCATACATTTTCTGCTTTTCGAATAGCGATTAGCAGAACTTCTACTGTTGACGTGTGTCGATTTCTTGAAACGATTTAGTTGATTTGTGAGCTCACGAGAAAATACTCAGAATGCTTTAGTTAAATATCGTGGTTAAATATGTAAACATGTTGAGGTTGTTATACAGCAATATTTTCGAATATACTGTACTTTAACAAGCAAATGTACTGTTACTGTGTGTGCTACAACAACTCGATATTAACTTTATAGACAAAAGATAATGTAAAACGTAAGAGAACGGCGAACATGCAGATTCGGGGACAGTAGCGTAATAGCGTTGCAGAGCAGAGTGGGCAGTAAGGCTCCCTCATGTACCACCCCATGGAAAACCTGCACCTCTCTTTGCAGATGAAGCTAGACCCGCCCCTCTTGTTGCGTATTCCTAAATAAATTCCATTCTTCCAGACATCTTTCAATATGTTTTCAGAATTTATCATTAACTCTTAACAGCACAAAAATCCTATTTCTGAAGTTTATCAAAAGAATGGAATTGGATTACAACCCAAAAAGTGTGGACAATGATGGTCAAAAACCTCACAGAAACATCGTTAAGGAAGTAAGTGGAACTCGTGGTCCAACAATGTTGCATGGATGACAATTTTAACGAAAATTAACGCCAAACTTATGTATTTGTGTTTTTCGTATAGGTATTGTGTTTGATTGAAGTTTCCAAAGAAGGTTTATCAGAGGAAGAACTGAAAGCTATACTCCACATTGACTCGGGAACTTGGTCCCCGATATTTTTTGCTATGGCCAGTTTTATATTAGACAGAGCCGGTTTGTACAGGTATACGACGTATACAATGTATCTAAAGTATCTTCATCCTTTCATTCCTTCTTTCTTTCGTTTATCTTTTTATTATTTCAGTTTCTTTAACTGCTTCTTTTTTCTTCTATTATTTTTCTTTCATCCTTCCTTTGCCTTCTCTTTATTTATTTCCCCATTTTGCGTTTTTCCTATCTTTCTTCCCAGTTTTTTATCATCTCATTATTTCTGTTTCGTTATTGCTTTTTAACTTCCTTTCCCGAGTCTGCTTGTTCCATGAATGTTCCAGTGATCATGCTCATGGCATTTTCAGACTTTCTAGTGAAGATTTATGCACAAATAAAATAGACAATTCCCATTATAGACTAATTTTAAGACTGGGCAAAGAGATGCAAATAAATCACCACAGCTAGAAACAGCATACTAAAATTAGTAAAATTGCAAAGTTTGGTTGCGAAATGTTATAAAATGCGGAAAATATAGCCTTGCAAAGTTTGCAAATTTTGTATACTTTTGTATTGCGTGCGGAAATTGCTACCATTTTCGGCCCAAATGTGAACTTTGCAAAGCTAAACTTTCCGCATTTTACAACATTTCGCAACCAAACGTTGCAATTTTACTCATTTTAGTATCCTCTTTCCGGGAATATACTTTTTTTGCCAAGATAAAAAATTAGTCTATAATAGGAATTGTCTATTGTGTCTTTGGAAGAGGTTAACACTATCACCTTCATTTACTTCTTTTGTTCAGTTTTGCGTACGAGGATCTAAACATGGCAGTCAATGAATATTACTTGGAAGACGAATCAGACAGACTTATGTTCGTTCGAAAGTTATCCAATTATTTTGAAGGCAAATTTCAGGTAACAAGGATTAACATGGACATTAACACCCAACATATTCTCCTTAACAAGTAAAATCTCCAGGCCTCTTGGTGGGTTAAAAGAGTCACGGGTAGATATAGATATCCAATCCAGCCTTATTCCGATATCAGTTCTTCTATTTACCGAACGCATTTGTTGATTGACCTTTCTAGAGTCTGTCGTTATCAGTTGATGATGTGGTACCATCGAGAATCTCAAGTGAATACCCACGACTACTGTCTAAACTCAGTGATGGTGAAAAACTGTCGAGTTATTTGACCAGACTTTGTGTGATAGCCAGTGTGCCCAGGTAAGAAGTAATACAAGTAGCTTTCGAACCTGTCGTTTACAGGGGGTTGATGTTTTTCTGAGAGTAAAAAACCCGGAGGTCTCGGAGAAAAATTATCGGAGAGAGATCCAACCACAACTCTACTTCACCCGACCTGGCTAAATACTACGATAGCAGGCTTAATGCCGCTTGCTATCTTTTCATGCAGTAGTTCACGCATTAATCACAGCATTCATTTTCTCTCTACAGTGACGGTCCGGAGTGGTTCAAAATGATGGATTACTGGACGCTGACTGGGTTAAGTAATGATCAAATATCCAAAGCATTTCTAGCATCAATTCAGGAGGAAATAACTCGATTAAAAGAAAATGATTTACAAGAATATGGTGAAGAGAAAAATCCAGTTCTGACACACGACAAGGTTCGTTCATGCATCTCCATCGAATTTCAACTTTTAAGGTCAGGTCAGGATGAGCTGAGAATTAAGATTAACATGGTGAAGTGTTGTCCCAAAGCACTTCGATCCCTGCCATTAATTAAAATCTGTACTGAGTGTTAGATTCAAGTTGGTAATCGATTATTCACTGTCGGCGATCAATAATCGATTGGTCGTATAAATAAATCAAGGTATATTCACTTTCACTGTGAGTTGTCCCTTCCAATATATCAAGTTGACCAATCTCAAAATAAGACAAGATCAATGAGTTATTCTCATGTTTTAGTTGCTTCCAGTTCTGCTGAGGATCGCAACATTCATGGTCGATGCTGGTTATGGGAAAGCTGTCATTCCTATTTTGCTCAAAGCCAAGGAACTTTATGTAAGTTTTACGAGAAAATACCTTTCTTTCTTTGATTCTTTCTTCTTGCTAACGGATTGTTTTCAATTTTCATTCTCTTCTTCAGGATTCCCTGGAAGATAAAACAACAACAAATCTTCAGATAGTAAATTTGTATTGTAACATCAACTACAGCCTGGCATGCCTTTATGTTGACTTGGACATGCTGGATGAGGCAGAACCCGTTCATAAAGATGTCCTTCATATGCGAGAAAGGTAAGGGACCATTCCTTCGATGACAATAATGTCAAATCACATTTTTAAGAAAAAAATGAAAACTACAGCTTCCCATATAACGGATTTTATAATACCCAGGTATAAGATCTTGCATGATCTTGGAATATCATGGCAAGGTCTTGCAGGATTTTTGGTAAAATCTTGCAGGATCCTGGCAAGATCTTGCAGGATTTTTGGTAAGATCTTGCGGGATCATGGCAGGATCTTGCAGGGTCTTAGGTGAGATCTTGCAGGGTCTTAGGTGAGATCTTGCAGGGTCTTAGGTAAGATCTTGCAGGGTATTAGGTAAGATCGTGCAGGGTATTAGGTAAGATCTTGCGGAATCATGGCAGGATCTTGCAGGGTCTTAGGTAAGATCTTGCAGGGTCTTAGGTAAGATCTTGCAGGGTCTTAGGTAAAATCTTGCAGGATCTTGGCAAGATCTAGCAAAATCCTGCACGATCTTAGGTAAGGTCCAACAAGAACTTGGAAAAATCCTGCAAGATCTTTCCAAGATCTTGTAGGATTTATGTAAGATCTTGGGTACGATTTTGTCAAAATCTTGCTGGGATCTTGGCAAGATTGTCAATCTGGGTACACATATAACTGAAGCTTATATTCATGTTAGTAGCAATTTTAAACTTGAAAGATTTTTTCTGCACTTTACTTGGTTGAAACTGAATGTTAGAGAATATTGGAGAAGATTGATAATCCAAGAGACAATATATGTACACTTTTAATACCAGGAACGGTTGTTAAAAATGCAACTAGTGGTCCTCTAGCAGGAGTCGAACCTGTGACCCTGCGATTTCAGTTGGTTAGAGCACTGCACCGGAATCGTAGGGCCGATTCCTGCCAGAATAGATATATTCATTTATTGTACATAATAGTTCATGTACACATTTTTGTAACTTATTAGAACAAATGATACTGTAACGCAGAGACGCAAGGGCTCTAAATCAATTGAAATCTCTGAAACCCATTCAATATGGTGTTTTATAGGTATAGTGATCAATTTGAAAACGGTGAAAGCGACGTAGCGACCTCACTGTATGGTTTATCTGTGCTGGAAGGACGTCGCAGGAACTATGATAAAGTTTGTATAGTATACAAATAATGAATGTTTATGAGTGCAATGGTAAGAATATTTTCATTCGGTGAAAGATGGAATGTTCCATTCAACGAGGCGACAGCCGAGTTGAATGGAACATTCCATCTTTCACCGAATGAAAATATTCTTACCATTGCACGAAGAAACATTCATTATTTGTTTTATATAATACCAAAATAGACTAATAGATTCGTATGAGAAACATTTTGAGGGATGCGATTTATCGAAAACACCAAGAGTGCAATTGTACTATACGTTTTATTCCATTGCACTCGCGGAGAGTGCAATGGAACGTGTTCCATTGCACTCTTGGGAAATGGAATTTTCTATTCAATATCACGTGACCATAAACAGCCAATTAAACGATTAGAATTTAATAAGGTATTATATAATATTGATTATTGTCAATTACTCGACAGGCTAAAATATTGCCTGGAGTTCGGCATCTCACTCGATATAACTAATTGTAGCAGATGGAAATTTTGAGTGGAATGTTTTATACATTTTCTAGACCTAAGCAAAAGCAGTTGCGAAAAATGCAACTATAGGCCCTCTGGTAGGAATCGAACTTGCAGCCCTGCGATTCCGGTGCAACGCTCTAAACCAACCAGCGCCGCCGAGAGGTTGGCGGGGGCCCGGGGCAAATTTTTTTTTGGGGGCCCCCTATCAAAAAAATTTTCTCCGGAGAACAACCCACGTCGCCAAAAAATTTTCGGTCAGTGTACCATTTTAGGGGTAAAAAAAATTTTCCGGAGTAAAAATTTTTTCCGGACGAGTACGTTTCAATTGCTTTGGGACTTTATCTCATTTTTTTATGCCAAATTTCGGTACTTAGCCCAAGAAAACAGATATCTTGTCCTTTGCGCGGAAATATTTAACGACTGGGGCCCAACAAAAATTTTTCGGGGGCCCCCAGCACCTCGCGGCCCGGGGCAAATTGCCCTCCGCTGCCCCCCCCCCCTCTCTGCGACCCTGAAACCAACTGAGCTTGTCATAGGGACAGTTGTCAAGCTCTAACCACAAGTTCATGTATAATTCAAAAAAGGTTGTCATTTGCAAACTGTAAACTTTAAACTCTAAGCGTGCAAACATAATGGGGTTATCAGTTTAGAAATCGTATATGGGGCCCATTTTTTAGAGACATGGTATAAATATCGCATTACGAGAACACTTCATTCACAAATGGCTGCAATATTCAACTACTAAGCTTCAAACTTGTTCTGCCATGAATCTTTGCGCGCTTAGAGCTTAAGGTTTAAGGTTTAGAGTTCAAGGTTTGCAAAGGACAACCTTTCTGAATGGACCTATTACCTAATGAACAAAATTTTGATCTAGACAAATCAAGACAAAAATTTTATCACAGCTTGAAAGAGCATCACACAATTAGTAATATTCCGAGGTTTCGTTGCGAAATGTTGTAAAATGCGAATAATATAGCCTGCGAAGTTTGTCGTTTTTCAGTCATTTTGTATTAGTTGCGGGAAATTGATACCTTTTTTCAGAAAGCGGTATCAATTTTCCGTGCGTAATACAAAATGACTGAAAAACGGCAAACTTCGCAGGGTTATATTATCCGCATTTTACAACATTTCGCAACGAAACCTCGGAATATTACTAATTTTGTGATGCTCTTTCAAGCTGTGATGAAATTTTTGTCTAGGTCAAAATTTTGTTCAATAGATAATCATCCATTGGCTATATATATACTAAGAGTCTAAGGTGATGTCAATGTTATGGGTAAATATCAGGATTTTGAGCATGTACACTCGATAGAACTAATTGTAAATCCATCTAGAAAACTCTTCTAAAATATTGCCTCCTTGTTAATTTAAATTGACGCCTTTTTTACCTGTACTTAATCAGGTTGATGAATACAACTCAAGAGTCCTATCTATCTACGAGAAATTACAACTGCCTTGGGATCATGAATATTACGCCAATCTCTACAACAACTGGGGAGTGGCCGTCATGTCAAATAATCCTGAACATGACAAGGAAGTATACGACAGAGCTATAGACTATATGAATAAAGCGCAGAAGGTAAGCAAAGTGTGTTCTACTTCACACAGGGATGGATCCAGGCAGACCTGGTTTGGGGTGTGGCCGTTGACCAAGTGCAATATAGAGTTTGGCAACCTAGAACGGCAACGACAACGGCAACGGAGAAAATATAATTGCTTATATTGTTGTATTTGAACCAAAGTATACGTTAAGACCATGTAATTTACATTCGCCTTTGTCTTTGAGGATCAATGCTATTGTTGATGACAATGCATGTTGCCGTTGCCGTTGTATTTGCCAAACTCTCTATTATCACTAGAGGGAGAAACTGGCTGTAGTGTTCTGGAAAACTGGCGAAATGATAGAAAGAAAAAAAATACTTCTCATGGCAGGGTCCAGGGAGTCCAGGGACAAAGCTGGTGGCAAGAGTGATAGAATATTGCCTTTCGAAATCAAAAATTGCATTTGATAAGAAAATTGGCACTCCCCGTGCACCCCATTTCCCAAGGTTAACAGGGGTGCGCACCCTCGGCACCCCCATCCTGACTTAATTTTACTTGTTATGATATATAATTTCTAACTTAGATCTACGAGTCAGTGTACTTTGGTCACTTACCGCCTCAAGTAACAGTCACTCTCAATAATCTGGCGCTGTGTAATCGACGACTCGGCAACCACGAGGAAGCTAGAAAAGTATACAAAAGGTATACGATTAATATGCGAAAGGTGTGGATGCTGGTGTGCAGTCAGGGCCGCCGAAAGGTTGCCCGTGGCAAAGTGCTTCCCCCCCCTCTCGAAGGGTCTGTATACAGTTGCTTTTAAATCACCCCTGTGACCAGAGTTCAATTCTGCATTGTTGTCTAATTGTAATTTCATCTTAGTTACCTGCTAGACGTTACCTCTTGTAGCAACCTCCCCTCAACTTCCGGTCATGTTTATCTTTGTAATTCTATCTTATTTCGGCAGAATATTGGCCATCCGTATCGACACGCTGGGAGAAAATCACACCAATGTCGCAATGGTCTACAGAAATCTCGGCACGTTGGAATATGCTGACAACAAAATTGATCTTGCGTTGGATTACTACGAGAAGTCTTTGAAAATATTCGAGGTCTGTTCAATTATTTATACTGGACAGCTTTTGACTGTCAGTGCTAACCCAGGAAAAGTGTTTCCGGGTTGGCTCTACCATGCAAACACCGTATATTTTCTCTGGGTACGAAGGGTACACGCGTAAACACGCACAAACTGTGACAAAGCTGCAGCATACTTGTGACAATCCTGTTCCAACAACTTGTCAACAGGATGTGTTCGCACTGCTTGTTCCCAGCTTGTTACAAGTTGTTCCAACAACTTGTTATCGTCCTGCAATTCATGTGGGCCTCATTGATACCAGTGATGCATCACTGAAGAAGTTACCTTACGGAAATAACTGTGATTTGATTTGTCAACAAGTTGTGCTAATGTGAGTGGCAACCTTGTGGCGACTTGATAAAATAACAGTATTGTCACAACTTATTGACAGGCTTGCTACAAGAGCCTGTCGCGAACACATCTTGTTGACAAGTTGTGAGATTTTTACGTGTGTACTGTAGTGGTACCGCTGGATCTCTAGGAACAACAGAACTGATAAAAGGCAGCAATCCAGAATAAGTAAAGTAGGAAGAACACTGAACCAACAAGGGCTGACCATTACCAGACCTTGAATTCAATCTGTTCTCCGTAGAAGCCTGCTACATGCAGAGAACAGACATGCAGAACTGTTCAATATAAGTAAAGGTAGTTTGGCGTATGTCAGTAATATCTAGTATAGTAGTAAGCAGGACTACTTCAGCGGGAATTCGTTTTTTGTAAGGTCAGCAAATCTGTGGAACAGCCACTCATCGCAACTTAAGAGTTGTACATCAATATCTGTATTTAGTTCCAGACTACGTAAAATGTATAAAGAACGACTGCTATTTTACAGCCCTCTTGGGTGTTCTTAACTTTAAAATATCCTATGGTTTCCTATTCATGTAATGTGTTTGGCCGATGTATAGTCATTTATTAGGAGTTAGGTGTCAATTGGGACGCAAGTCATGTTCCTCTCTCCAGTCACACCAATGGCTATTTTGTACAATGTCCAAAATCTGTTTTGTTAGGCATTTGGGGAAGAACATTTGGAAACAGCGTTGTCTTTAGAAAACATGGCATTAGTCAAAATTGCTCTGGAAAATTGGGACGAGGCTCATTACTATTTCAACAAGGCAGGTTAGTTGTACTACTAATCCATTTCAATGTGGAATACATACTAGACCTTTCCTGGGACGTTTTAAGCAAAGAGAACCTTTTCACAAAGGACCTAATTTTTTGCAGTCAAAATGTGATCGACAATCTGAGTGACTACGTGATCCTAATACTTTTTAGTTACTCGTGTTCACCATAGAAAAAAAGTTGTAATAATTGTCACAAAAACTTTGTTTGAATTCTAGGTGAAATTCTCCACAGAACCGGAAGAATGAATCATTCTTTACCCTCAATAAATGCAGTAATGGCCGACCACTACCTAACAAATGACCGAAAACCAGACGCGTACAAGTTATTTCAACGTTTAGTTGGTACCAGTATTGCTCAACCGCGTGACTATGCCGCATTGGAATACTTCGATCGTCAACTGCCGGAAAACGAACGGCCGACGAGACCTTACGAACATACTACAGAATATGCGTTAGAAAAGTACGTATAGTCAATTATGAAATCTACATTTATCTATCTATCCTTTGCCGTGTACTTATAGCATTCAGTCTCATTGAATTACTATCTTCAGTGATTATTTTGGAATAAGGCTTTATATGATTGTTGATTTGCCAAAGAGAGTAAAAAGCTTTTGTTTTGGTATATACTAGATAGAATCCGGATAGCTGTATCAATTCTGTCAATATGCCAAATTGAACAAATTCTATACCGGACAGCTCTGTCTGTTGGAGTAAGCAGTATAACAACTGAATGTTACAGGAACGGCCAGGAACTTTGCAAGCGGGGGGGGGGGG